ACCCACCAGGCACCCAGAAGTATTTCTTTTGCAGAGACCAGAATGAAGATCCTGCACGTTTCATTTAACAAGAATTTCTGAACTCAGATTTTCCTTTTTTTTAGGCACAGGTATCCTTTTGCATATGCACCACTTTTATCTGCAAAACCAAGTGATCAAAACATCAGGACTAAGGTTAACCATAATCCCTTATTCATCTGCATTATGAGTCATTCTTTAAATATAGGATTATGCCTTGTTTTCCACCAGATTCTACCTCAGGATGGATAATGTTCACTTAATAAGCAGATATTCAGTATTTTGTTACAGTGTCATTATTCAGCGTGTGGCTTGGGGCCTCATTTACCATATACTACTCCAAACCTGCTTGGAAGACACAATTGCTAATTTTCTTGTGAGTTTTTCTAGGGCTCTTATCAGTATGGCATATGAGTGCTTCACAACCCTCGTTTCTCCTAACAACACCCTGTAAGACGAGAGGATATTATTATTCTTGTTTAACAGATGGCAAACTGAAACACAAAGAGATTCAGGTCAAAACATTCTGCTAGGGTTGGGTCCCCAAACTGAGATGTCTGGGAATTGATTTCTCAGGATGTTTAACATTGTACAGCATCATATGTCAGGAGAAATAGCACTGGCAGTCTACTCTGCAAGTGGAAACATGGAAAGCAAAATAAAATTAATAGCCAGTTGGGAAGAATTTAGTGCAAATCGACTTCTCTGAGACTGGATGAAAGTTTTGCAGGATTCACATGCTTGAACCATGAGATTTCACATTTTCTTTTCAGTTCTCTATCTTTTACTGTGCTCTCCCTGCTTCCACAGCAAATCCAGGCAAAGTCCACCAGGTAGCTGCCTCCTCCTGTCCCCAGCTCTGACTCATGTCCTGAGCTGCTCCACCTTCTGAATTGAATGAGACCAGGGTCCTCTGCTAAATATAGCACATGGTCAAGTAATTAAAGACTAGACCAAGCACAGGTACAAAAGGAAGCCAAATAAACACTTTGCAGGAAACCCTAATTTCATGATTTCCCGATACCCATTTCTAAATAATAAGCTTTTCAAGGAGAAAAGTCTCCCTTACATGTATGTGTATATATGTAAAATATAAATTTTATATACAAATGTAATTTTGAACTAAAATAGAAATGTATTTTATATATGATAAATATATAAAATAGGATAAAAATGTTATTATATATGTATAATAATATAAACTTATGTATACTTATACTCTTGTTCCTGATTCATAACCAGTCAAAATTTTCCAAAGACTGGAAAAGGTACCTGGTATGGTATATTATGCCCAAATGATTAAAGTTTTCAGTTTAAAATTAAAGGCGAACAAAATCTGCTCAGTAGGTTTCAGTTCAGCCTTCTGACTGTGTCTTCTGTTTCAGGAAATCAGGATACATGTGCCTGGGTAAATCAGAACCACTTGTATTTTATAATATTCCCTGCTGAAGCAGTATGTAGAAGCAGAACTCCAAATTTCCAGTATTCAGGAAATTCAGTTATTTCATAGTTTCATTTCATTTTGAATCAAGAGAACACCTACTCCCTTGCCTCAAACTTCCAAATTCCCTTAAAATTTTATTTGTGTTGGATTTAAATTGTTTTAAATAAATCAACCAGAGCTGATACCAGCACTGGAAATTTTAATGTGAATATTTGGAGCTTGACAGAGTTACAAGGAAATAAAGAAGCCTGGAAAGCTTCAAACAATCCTTGTTACAAGTACAACACCAACTATTTCTAAAATACCACTGCAGTAGCATCTACATTTTGTAATAAAAAACTTATTAAATGTGCTATGTGTTATGTTCAATACAGTGATAGTCAGGAATATATCCTCATTTTCCAGGTACTTTTACTGTCTCTCCCACTTAGAACAGAGCGAGGAGTGGAGCTCTGCTCTTTCCTCACACACAGGTCTGTCCCATTTCATAGACTCGTGAAAAAAGAGCAGAATCTGAAAATTTAACCTAAAAGATCCACCAGCAACTTGTGCAAGAAGGAGCAGTAGGTCTGAGTGTCCATCCTGACACCAGCCCACCTCAGCTCCCAGCACAGAACACACTTGTGGCCAGATCAAGGGGACTTTTAAGAGATGAACTCGGGGTTTGGGTTAATTAAATGCCATGGAAAGTTAGGCAGCCTGACAGTTTCACTGATTAATATTTTGCTCGTTGTTTTCTTATCAAGGGGACAGGCAATTTGACTTAGTCACCTTTTGTCGGAACTCAAAATGTCTCTCAGACATTTTTAGAGGTTCCAGGCCTTGGTCAGAAGCATTTTAGACCCTGACAGGCAGCTGGAAACAGCTGTGATTTTGAGTTTGAGCCATGGAATGAGTTACCAACTTTGAAGGTGGAACAAGCAGTCACAAAGGGTTAGATAGTATAGTAAAAGTAGTTACAAAACAGAGGGAAAATTTTTTTAGTATTGTACAGGGGGTTTAGCACATGTACAGGGGGGTTTTTACTTTGTACATGAGGGTCAGAAGTTCTAAGATGGAGGAAAGTGGGCTGATCCTGTTCTTCCTCCTTCTTCTTCCTTGCCTCCATGTTCTTGGTGATGTTGGCACTCACAGATTGGTTTAGAGTAGAAAAGCACTTGGTAATATAGGTAGTAGGTATTGGGGGAAAACTATAAACGTGTAATACGTAATATATCATATAAAAGATAGCAGCAGCCCTGGGCGGAGAGAGAGAAGAAGAAGACAGCAGACAGAGAGGATGTCAGGGTGTGTGTGTGCCTCTGCTCAGGCTGCTGACCAAACAGCCGCAGCCCGAGAAGAAAATCTTTTAGATAACTTGCAATAAACTGCCTTGAGACCAAACAGCAGGAGCCTGCGCAGTTTTTCTTTGAGAGCACAGGTTGGAGGAGGAATTTCACCACCACATGGGACCCCAGAATAAGGCTGGGGTTCTCACAACCTTTGAAGGACGCGCTGGGGCTTGTGTGAACCTGGGCTTCTCCCAGTTCTCAAAGGAACGGTCATGAGAACTGCTTAATAAAAATGAAAAAAATAATTAAAAAAAACCTCAAAAAAAACAAAAACAAAAAAAAACCCAAAAAACAACCTTGTGTCAGGATCTTCTATTTTGAAGGGAGGTGAGAAATCAGAATCCAGCCCTCAGCTGAGAAGGGCTGTTTCGGTAAGGCCCGGGCAGTGAAGCCGCGCAGCCAGCAGCCAGCGAGGAATTCCCCTGGCGTGAGGGCCGTGAGTCACACGTGTCCCTGCTGCTCCTCTCCCTCAGATGCAGGGCCATCCTCGTGGGCTGGATGTGTCAGGAGAAAGGAGCTGGCAGAGCTCTCCTCTGTTACACAACCCCGCTGTCCCTGCCCAGAGGCTCGCTCCAGCCAGGGCAGGGAGCTCCTGCAGGTGGCAAAATCCTTCTGCAGCTGACATTTCCCTTCTCTCCTCGTTTTCCTTAACCCTCTGCTCCTCTGGAATAACCAGAGTAACCCAGTCAGCTCCTGAGCAATCGCAGTGCTGTTGTAAAAGTCCTCCCATAAAAAAGGGATTTTTTAGCATTGGTTTTAGCGGTGTAAAATGAGGCTCCACACAGAGCAGAGCTGACACAGGTATGGAGATTCCTCATCGGTTTTGCTCAATAAATTCACAGCAGAGCTGCTGCCACAGCAGCATGAGCAGTTTGCAACATTTGTATTTGTCCTCTGGCTATTTATCACTGTGTTTTTCACAAGCCCTTTTAATGCCTCCAGGAGTAATTTATGGGGACAGAATAGCACAAAAAGAGCAGATCCCACTTATTTAAATCTCTGGATGATGAAAATCACATGAGAAAAGCAGGTTTCACATTGTTTCCTCTCCATAAATGGCTTTCTGAGGCAGTAAAAGCCATGTAAAAGCAAACATAAACACTGTACAAATACCAAGATATTCAGGTTTGTTTGTATTTATCCAAACACTGCCCTAAGATTTTCAGGTTTTTTTTCACGTTTGGGCTTTGTTTTGTTAACTAATTCCATGAAACATTGTAGGTTGTAGTTAGTCTTAATATAACCAACTAGTTATATGCACTAAAATTTCTCTTAACAAATTTTACTGCACAAAAGGGTTACTTTAATAAAAACAATTCTTACTACAAATCTTGTTACTTTTCAGATTGATGAGTAATGTGTGTGACTGTGGTGTTCCTTTTTTCTTTTTTTTTTTTTCTTTATTTGGCAGTTCTCACTGCTTCTGCTTCAGCACATGAAGCAGACTGATCTGGACACCAGGATAATCCAAGTTCCCAGCAATTGACATGCTGGTTATTAATTTTATAAAATAAGCAAATTAATGAAGCATGACTAACAAACTTCTTTGATCCAGTGAATGCTCATTTGTGCAGGGACATTAAGAATCATAACCAGTACTAAAGTACTGAGAGTAACAGCAGGGACATGGAGAGGTGACCAAGTTTCCTTCATAGGCCTGGGGATATAACTTTGGAGGTATCTTACACACACAAAAGTTTGAATGACATGAAAATTTTAAAATAAGTAGCATCTCCCTGTAAAAGGTAAATTAAAGAGGTTTCTTTGCCCTGTCTTTTTTCATTAATTAACATTCTAGCTCCTTAACTTCCAGCTAAAGTAACAGAATCACAGAATGGTTTGGGGTATAAAGGACCTTAAAGCTCACCTTATTCCACCCCCCTGCCACAGGCAGGGACACCTTCCACTGTCCCAGGCTGCTCCCAGCCCTGTCCAGCCTGGATTTGGACACTTCCAGGGATCCAGGGGCACCCCCAGCTGTTCTGGGCACCCTGTGTCGGGGCCTCATCACCCTCATAGTGAAGAATTTTTTTCCTAATATCCAATCTAAACTTACTTTCTTTCAGTGTAAAGCCATCCCCTCTTGCCATAGGATACAATGTTTTCTGCTTCAGCTCTACTATATTTCATGTTTTGCCTCATGAGACCGAATTTATTACAGTGAGGGATGTAATTTAATAGTATATTTCAAACAACCACAAGTGTACCTGCTTGACTGCACATTTTTCACAAAGTCTTTCCAGGAAGCATTTAAAGTCAGCAGACTGCACCAAAATTTGTTTGAGTAATCCAGGCTTCGTGATTCTGCAAGAGAGAACAGAAAGTCAACTTGAGATGATTCCTCTGCTGTTTGTCATACCAAAATGTCACAAAGGCAGGCAGATCTTTTACCTGTTTTCCTACAGGTTCATAGAGAGAAATCTCAACCTAGACCTTCATCCAGCAAAAAATCCTGTGTTCATTCTCACCTTCCTTCACTATTACCTCTGTAAAATCACAGGAAATAATCCACAGTGAACAAAGCAACCATCATGTTCAAGTCTTTGCAGAATCCCAGCCCCTCCAGACCTGAGCTGTGCAAAGCCTCAGGATTATTCATAATTTCACCAGCCTTATTCAGCAGAAAGAATGTGGAACCATTTTGAGTCATATTTAAAGCTGTTTATGGGTATAGGGAAAAGTTGTGTCCCTTGATCAAAATGTAGCTTTCTCTTAGCTTCATTCCTGGGTTAGAGGAGAATTAAACTGTTCTGGAACTTGCTGGGAAGAGGGGGAGCAGGGGGATAGAGAAGGACAATTTATCTCTAAATTACATTGCTCTTCAGAGTAAACCACAGAGAGCTGTAATGGGACAAGTAATTTTTTTATATAGTATAATTAATTAGAACCCATAAACCCCAATTAAACAGCACTTTTGAGACTATCAAGTGGTGCATGTTTGAAACTGCAAATATGACAGTATAAGTACATTTTTATAGCTGGGCACACTCCTCAGGATTATTTTCAGTGCTCTACTAAAATGGGAAATGGCACCAGTTAGGCCCCTGCTAATAAATCGCTTGGAAGCAGGCGATATTAATAATCTTTATGGGGGTAGGATGGAAGCCAGATGGGGCAGGGAGGGGAGTGTGAAAGTGGCATAATATATTGGCCTGGAAAACACAGCCCAGGCCAAAGCAGAAATATAATTTTGGTGTGTATCAGCGAGGACTGGGGATAGAAAAGGAGAGGGATGGCTGAAAGGGGTCTCGCCCTAGGAGATCAGGTGTGGGAATCCAGGGCTTCCCTCTGGCTGCCCTGGCAGGTCTGGGACCCTGGCAGGGGTCAGGAACCCCCTGGACAGAGCCCCCAGAGACACTGTCTGTGATCTCTGTCCATGAAAAAGAGTTTTCAATCTTACAGGATGAATTACAAGCTCTGAGTGTTTTATACAAGTAATAATTAAGTGTGGAACGGGTGCAAAAGTAAAATTTTAGGATTCTATATTAGGAGTTCAAAGAGGACAAAATGGAGGAAATTGGGTGTGTCTTGTCCTTTTTCTCTTTCTCCATGCCCTCCATGTCTCACTGTGGTGTTGGCATTTTTCTGTTGGTTCAGGCTGGGGACACACTGTCCAACGTAGGTGACAGATATTGGCACGTT